CAACTTTTTTTTCTTTTTCTTTTTTTTTTTTTTTTTACAAAAATAAACAGATGATAAAATCTCTGCGAGGGGCAGCGATAAGAAAAGTTGTTATTTCAGAAACAAGCCCAAGTTCTCAGTATTGCAACACGGACAGGGTGACAGTTCCTACACAGAAAGAGCATTAAAGAGTTGAAAGTTTGTTAAAGGTGGCAGGAACGGAAAAAAAACCAAACCAAACGTGTTATACGCTTAAAGGAAAAACAACCCAACGAACCCCAAGAACCCAAACCAACGAAATCAAGGCAGAACGACCCCTTTTTCACTCATGAGGCTGACACAGGACAAGTGCACGGACGGAAAGCTCAGGCAGAGCGGACTCGCGTCGTTATCGGTATATTTACAAATCCCGAACCGGAAAGAAAACCGACAAGAGAAAAAAAAAAACAAAACCAAACCGGCGGGAGGGGGAGCGGGGAAAGCGGGAATAAACTGACTTTCCCGGCGACACTTCCAGCCGGAGCCCCGCTGGCTCCGGCCAGCGCCGGGTGCCCCGGAGATGGGCTTTCCGGGGAGGAATGTGACTCAGGAACGGTTCCAAAGGCTCTACGTGTAGAAACGAACCCGGGAGAGGGGAGGGAACGAACGAGCGAACAAACAAACGAGCGAAAGCCCCTCTGCAGTTTTGGTTCCTCCGTCCGCGGGAGCCCAGGGACCGCCCTCCCCTCCTGGCGAAGGCGGCGGCGGCGGCGGAGAATTAAAAAGCGAGAAGACGCGTGGGGCTTCGCTCGTGCCGGGGTGGTTTTCCCCGCCGGTCGGGGAGCGGGGCAGACCCGGGCCGGGCTCCGTCCCCTCCCGCCGCCCCCCCGCCGGCCCCGGGAGCGGAGCGGGGGGGACCCGCCGCCTCCGGGGGGAGCGTTTGTAGGTCCTGGGGGTGCCGGGGCGGCGCGGGCGCGGCGGGGCGGCCCCGCCGAGGGGCTCATTTGGTGTCGGTGGCTAATCTGGGCAGGCTGGCCGTGCCCATGCCGGAGACGTGGTGGTGCGGCGGGGCCGACACCTGGCACATGCTGCAGGGGCACGGCATCCCCCCCCAGTGCTGGAAGCCGCTGCCCAGCGGGGCGGCGGCGGCGGCCGAGGGCGACTTGAGGAGCCCGTGCGGGGGCCGGATGGAGCTGACGGCCGAGAGCCCGGAGCCGGGTAGGGAGGCGCTGGAGACGGCGGCGGGGGGCAGGATGGGGTGGTGCACGGGGTGCGAGGCCGGGTGGGCCGGGTGGCCGGGCAGAGGGGCGGAGTGGGCGCCCATTCCGCCGGGGCAGGCGGCGGGGTGGAAGCCGGCGTGGTGCCCGCCGTAGATCTCGCTGACCAGGCGCTTCATCTCCTCCAGGGAGTTGGTGAGCATGAGGATGTAGTTGCGCGCCAGCAGGAGCGTGGCGATCTTGGAGAGCTTGCGCACCGACGGGCCGTGGGCGTAGGGCATCACCTCCCGCAGCCCGTCCATGGCGATGTTCAGGTCGTGCATCCGCTTGCGCTCCCGGCTGTTGATCTTCAGCCGCAGCTGCTGCAGCTCCGGCTCCGTCATCTGCTTCTTGTCCTTCTTGGAGGAGGAAGAGGAGGACGAGGAGGAGGACGACGACGAGGACTTGAAGCCCAGCTTGTCCACCACCACCACGCCCGCAGCGCTCATGGCGCTGCGCAGCTCCGCGCTCAGCTCCGGCGGGGAGTCGCTCTGCGTGGAGCTGGACACGGTGCCGCCCGTGAAGCCCCCGCCGCTGCCTTTATTCCTGGCCGTGAGGAAGAGGTCATCGGGCTCCGGGGAGGACGGGCGGCTGGAGACCAGGCTGGCGTCCGAGTCCATGGCCCGGCGGGCGGGGCGGCGGCGCGCACCGGGCTCTGCCTGCGGGGAGGGGAGAGAGCCCGCGGGCGGCCCCGCGTCAGCGCCCGCCCAGACTCGCCGCGGCCCCGCCGCCCGCCCGCCCCGTCGGGGAGCCCGGTCCGCGGGGCCGGAGAGCGGCTCCAGCGGCGGCACGGGCCGCGCTGCCCGCCCTCCCCTCGCCGGGGGGGCACTTCT